ATATATATATATATATATATATATATATATTATTTATAAGCATGTCTATGATGAAACCTACAAGAAACCAATGTGCTGTCCAATATTTCGAGACCCATTATTAGGTTCAGTTCTGTGTTGGTTTCGTTCAGCCATTAGTTTCACTGGTCTGATGATTGGCATTATCAGTTATGTGCTGGTTTATTTTGATTGCTATTTAAAGTTCGCTGCCATATAAAAGCTATTCCTGTAGCTTCAATGTAGCTGCTGATATATGGTCAATGATTTTAAATTTTACTCAAACTTTTTATATGAATGATTGGATGTTGATGTTCATCTTTTTACGTGAATTTTTGTATATTATTCTCTTTTCATCTATTTAATACAATAGCTTGCAATTATACTTGGTTTACTACACTTTTAAATTTTACTTAAAAAACTAAAATAAATGCCTAAGGGGGTGAAGGAAGAATATTTTGGTCCCCGTTTTTAAGAATAAATGGGATGCAGTAGAGTGTGCAAATTATAGAGAAACTAAGTCAATGTGTCATACAATAAAATTATGGTAGAGACTAATTAAACATAGGTTAAGACATGAAAGAAAAATTTCTCTCAATCAGTTTGGATTTATGCATGGAAATTCTACTAAGTTATACTTTTATTGAGAGGTTTAATGGAGAAGTACAGAGAGTCTAAGGAGAGCCTACATACGATTTTTATTGATTTAGAAAAAGATTACTATAATGTTCCGAGCGAAGTTCATTGGAGAGTTCTAGAAAAGAAAGGTGTTAAAATGTAAAAGAAGGTGAGGTTGGCTAGATGAATAAAAAACAACAACAAACCATTATCCCACAAAGTGGGGTCTACAACATGAATCCTTTTCTCCATTATGTCCTATTAAGTGTCATATTTTCATCTAATTCTAATAAATTAAGATCATTTTTTATACAACATGCCGAAGTCTTTTTTAGGTTTGCCTATATCTTTCTTAACATAAGTAGAATTTAAAAAATCTACTCTCCTATATGGATCATCAGATGGTCAACATTTAATGTGATGTAACCACCAAAGACAACTCTCTCTAATCTTGTCTTCCACTGGAGCTACACCAACCTTTTCACAAATATATTCGTTTTGCATTTTGTCTCTAAGTGTAAAGCTGCTCATCCACTCGAAAGCACGCCTCAGCCTGGGACAATAAGACATAAATCTCATTGTATTTTTTCTAGAAAGTGTTGAGGCGGGTCTCAAAATGAGCCTCATATTGTGTTAGTTTAAAAACAATTTGAGGCTAACAAGATTGTATATTTATTTGCAAAACATATGCATGACTTGCGTTAAAATATCCATAGAAAATGTTATGCATATTTTAGAAATTAAAAATTTTGATGTCAGAGCGGACAAGAGGTACGCAAATTTAAACCAGATAAGATTATCATATGTACGAACTTAAAAGACGATGTCATTTAAAATCAAATATCACATTAGTAAATGCTTATAAATTAAAAGTTTCAAAAGTTCTAATATAAATATAGTCTTCAAGTTACATAATTTGATTTTATTTCATGAATTTGCTAGCAATGTATTAGATTCTCCTCTCTTCTCAACTCATAAATTCACATCCATCCCACCATTAGAAAAGTCGGCATTTCATGTTCCTCTAGCTATAAAGCGTGTTGAAATGGTTTCCACTAATGGTGATGAATTCCAAAGATATTTTGTGTGTTTACATGATAGGCTTGTATGCAATAACTCATCAATTACAATGCACAACGTGCAACGCGTATGCTTTGATTTGCTGGATGAATATCAACTGCTAAAGTTGTGAGAGCTGAAATTTTTACAAAATTGGATGGAAATTCTAAGGTCAACGCTCATCAAAAGCATAAATCCTATGCATTAAGACGACCAAATGGGCTTTTGTTGATATGAATATTTTATTTTAGTTCTTCCTACTTCATGGCTTTATTTTAATTTTAAACTATAAACATGCCTATGATGATTCCTATAAGAATATATGTGTTTTCTGATGTTTTTAAGTCTCATAGTTTAGATTAGTCTATGCCAGTTTGGTTCAACAATCTATTCATTGGTATGATATTTGCTATTATCTAATATCACTTCTTCTAGCTTCTACTGTTTACTTCCTACAGTTAATTTTGATAGTTGCAGATATATTATTATCGTCCATTTGATCTACTAATTCTGATAGTTACTGCAATTATTCACTATCAATTTTTCATACTTATCCACTGCCCTCATGTCTATTCAACCACTAGTCTCCATAGCCAGCTTCTGATGTACAACAGCCTGTCGAGAACTCCTAACACCTAACACGGAGGGAGAATTATCTAGTACAAGTCTCGTTGCCAGCCACTATTTCTTTCCTTATTTAGTTCGGATTCCTACAATCCCATTTGGTAGTCCTTCCTTGGCCATCTGCTGCTCCAATTTCGAGCCTTGATTTTTCCTTTAATTTGGATTTCTTTATCTACTTTCTGATAATTGTAGCAATTATTTTATTTGAGTCATTTCTTTCCTAATGTTATTTATTTCCTGAAGTTATAGTTTTGCATCCTATATAATGGCCACCTTCATTCTTTGTAACCATCCAATTTTATTTCAAGATTAATGAAGAATTTCTTTGTTGAAAGTTAATTCTCGTTACTCGTAGATTTGAGTTGCCTTAGTATTGCCCGTGGATTTGAATTGTTATCTCTTTGCTCGTGTATTCGAGTAATTTCAAGAATAAGGCAGCGACCATCTTCTTTTCCGCGCACTCCGCTACATCAGTTGGTATCAGAGCCGGTTAATCCTGTCCAGATGGCGAACAGACGAAACGAAGGCAAAGCCCTTGACGGAGGTGGCCATTAGGAAGATATAGTTACAGGAGCTAAAATTAGAATTCTCTAGTGTAACACTCAACAAATTTTGTGGGAGGACCAAGCCACTCTTGCTAGGCTTGCGGTGGGGAATAATCAACGAGACAATGGTCCCATAGGTCTTACAACCTTACCGAGAATGGATTGAAACTTTTAGTGAACGCAATCCAAAGATTCCATGTAGGCCACTAGCCTATGAGGATATCATGAGCAAGGATGAAGAAGATACTACAACCATACTTCGGAATAATCGAAGGGGTTACCAAGGAGGGCACGACCGAAGGACCTTTCGTATGAAGATGGACTTGCCCAGTTTTAATGGACAACTTCTAATCGAGGGATTCTAGACTAGCAGGAATTAGTTGAGAGGTCTTTCAATTATATGGATAATCCTGAAGTAAAGTGAAAAAAGTTGCGTAAAGACTATTGGGTGGAGTTTCTGCTTGGTGGGAGCCATTGCAAACTACACAGATGCGACAAGGAAAAGGAATGGTTCACACATGAACTAAGATGAGGCGGCTGTTATGATCCTAGTATTTGCCACCAGACTATGAGCCGATTCTGTTTCAACAACATCAAGATTGTAGGCAAGGAAGTAGAACGGTTGAGGTGTACCTAGAGGAATTTCGCTGGCTATCGTTGCGCAATAACCTGCTGGAGACAGATGTGCAACAAGTGTCCATATTTGTTGGACAACAAACAAAGGAAAGTCCCTAATGGCTCAACCACCTTTGTTTAACACCAATCGCGGGACCAGTAGCAATGGAGCCCCAACAAAACCAACCAACACTGTTCCATCGGAAGTGGCACCTCGTAACCCTTATGCTTGTCTGAGGTCTGATAAATGCTATAGATGCAGACAACCAGGGCACTACTCCAACCAATGTCCAAAAAGGGGTATCTTTAACTGGGTGGAACCAGAAGACGATGTCCGAGTTGAGACAAAGGAGGACAAGATAGAACCGCCTAAACTTATGAAGAGGAAAAGGTAACGGACAGCGATAAAGGGGAGTTATTGTCATGCTCGCTGGTGCATGCTGTTAGCACTGAGACGGGAAGAACCATCTCAGAGGCATAACAAATTCTGAACCAGATGTACCGTTAGCAAAAAGAATTGTGATCATTCATAGTGGCAGCAGCGAAAATAAAGTGTCGTAAGCAATGTTTAGAAAGTTGGGGCCTACAAACCGAGAAGCACCCTTCATCGTATAAAATTGGTTGGATTAAACAGGGAGCTGAAGTGACGGTAATTGAAATCTACTGCATTAATTTTTCAATTAGAAAGAGTTATGCCAATGAGGTTGTTTATGACATAGAGATCGATGCCTGCCACATGATTTTGGGACAGTTATGCAGTTGGATGTGGATGTCACACAGGGGTCGTGATAACGATATGTTTTCTTGAAGGGAAGCTTAAAGATCGTCTTGGGACCCATAAAGGAAGAATTTTCAGCTGATCTATTGAAGTCAAAAGGCAAGGCGATATTTTTAGTGGATGTTGGTAAGTTCACTAAGGAAACCAAAAAAAATTGGTGAGATTTTTGCTATGGTAGTTAAGGAAGAAGTCGGTAGGGAATTTATGGAAATTCCAACCAGTCTTAAACCTTTGCTTGAGGAATTTCAAGAGATTATACCGTCAGAGCTACCGGATGGGTTGCCTCCCATGCTGAACATCCAACATCAGATCGATCTCATGCCAGGAGTGAGTTTGCCTAATCGACCACATTACCGGATGAGTCCCAAAGAGAGTTCTTACAGATAATATTAATATATATCCAGAACCAATCTAA